AAATATTTATTGGCTGCTCTATTAATGTTTAAAATCCAATACGTTTTTCAAACCTTCAGACATTCTGATTGTTTCTCGTGTGCTGCTCTACCTTGCCGGTGTGGTCGTGCTTCATCTCCCAGCCTCTGGGCAGCTCCAGCTGTTTGTTGGCGAACATGTTGAGGAAGGCCACCAGGTCCCGGTTGTGCTGATATCGCTCAAAGTGGTGAGCATCCCGACGAACCTTGCTGATCATATGCTTCAGACACGTGTTGGTGGCGAACATACGGTAGGCACTCTGAGCGAGAGAGACAGGGAGGGACGGAGAAGAAGGAAAAAAAAAAGAAAAGGAGAAGAAGATTTAAAAGTGAGGAAAGAAACAAAACAGAGAAGAAGGAAAGAGAAGAAAGGTCTGTTTGGAAACTGACACATTTTGTTGTGTTTGTAAATGGATAAAAATCTACAACCAAAAACCCATAATGATGAATAGTGAAATATATACGCGTATATATACCAAACACACAACCTTCCCCTTTTTCTGATTCCATTAAACCAGTGTGATCTATGAGAGGAAGGTGAAAGAAAAAAAAAGGGGAGGTGGGGGGGATGAGGGAGAAGGAAAAAAAACGAGTGCCCGCACAGGGTTGGAATGCAGCACAGTGAAGAAGTCGGGGCTGGCGAGGAACTTGGCGCTGGGAGACTGAAGCAGCAGGGTGAGGCGAGACCGGGAACTGGACGACTGAGCCGCGCTGCTGTCCCTACGCAGCTCTGCAACAAACACACATGCACTTTGTCAGGACACAAATCAAGGTTGACAGACATGTTTTATTGCAGGTCAGTGAGAGGATCACCTGGCATTGAGGGGTGCATGTCAGTCTCATCCACCAGCAGCTCATTGGCTGGCTGCTCCTCTGGTCTGCTGTCATTGGTTATCGTCCTTCGTATACTCTGATACCTGGAAATATGTGTGTAAGTCTGCATTAAATACCAAAATGAGACTTTTTTTTGTACTGAGCTGCCTGCATTTCCAGTTTGAGGCTGACCATACGGTGTGTGTGCACGTGTGTATGCTTGCACTCTGACCTGCGGTTCAGCTGCTCCATCTGCTGTATGGAGTTGGACCTCTGGAGGGTCTGCGCGGCGGGGGGAGCAGTGGGGCGCTGCCAAGTCGTGGTCCTGTTCACGTGGTCCACGTAGAAGATGCGACCGTGGCTGTCGATGCGAGCTTCCCAGTCTGGTTCGCACACGCGACAACAAAAGCAACAACACAATGACAGTGAGGCCAGGCTGGAAAACTATGAGGGGCCGTCAGGGACATTATTCAGAATTACCTCTCACACACACATGTGAAATGCTCTTACATACACTACTGAAACACTCTCACACATACAAGTGAAACGCTCTCATACATACAACTGAAATGCTCTCAAATAATATATAATAATATATATATATATATATATATATGTATATATAACATATTTCAGTACAATGTGTGAGAGGATTTCAGTTGAAACAGAAGCTGTTTGTTGATCGTCAGCCACGATGTTTGCAACGTATGTATGAGAGCATTTCAGTAGTGTATGTAAGAGCATTTCACATGTGGGTGAGATGTAATTCTGATGGCCGCTGATAGAAAACGCAGGTTCGGTATCTCAACAAACAAAGGTTCAGTTGTTATTTTCCATGTGTTGAATTTCCGCAGCTGTTGGACGTGAAGTAAAAAAAATACAAAGTTGATCTTTTTCTTATTTTCTAGAATTGTTCTGTATTTCTTTTCATATTGGCAAGATATTGTTTAAATAAAAAACTATATATAAATATCTCTTTAAAATTCCTTAAGCTGCAAGTAAAACAGTCATCCCACAGAAACTGCAGCTGTATAAAATGAACTGCATGGAAAACTTTATGACCTTTACCTTCATGTGATGTGCTGGGGAAAAAAAAAATTATATGCTTTGCGTATAATGGAACCCATTATATACACCATTATATACAGTCCTGTGCAAAATGGTGTAACGTGAAGATCCCATGAAAAGTTTCAATTATCACGAAGTAATCATATGATTCCAGACAGACTCCGTGATGATGCGATGGGGACATCCCATCTGTTGCAGGATAGTTCTTTATGACCCTGGCTGTATGTTTGGACCTGTATGCCGACATTTGCATAGAGAGGAGGAGCAAACGTTTGGCGGTGGACTGTGAGGTTATCGTTGGGTACATCTGCGTGGTAGAAACAATGAGACTGGTTCTTGGATCCTGACGAAGTGAAACTCTGGTGAGCGCAGGTTCTTCTTGTTGGTGATTTCCTTTTTGTTGTTTTTTTTCTCATTCTATTACGACTTTATTCTTGTAACTTTATGACTTTCTTCTCAATTGTGACATCACTCTTAATATTACAACTTTATTCTATCTAAATAAATGTTCCTATACCAGTATTGTCTTGCCATGTCAACCAAAAACCTGCTTACGATTTCATTACAGTGTGTTATAAATATTTATTCTAAAGTAAAGTGCTGGTGATGACTAAGCTTTTCAAACACTTAAGACAAGATGTGCCGTATAGAGCATGCACAGGACTTTTTCTGTAGTTGGTGCTGTACTGACTTCCTTCAGGTTAAATACTAATGTACTGCGATACACACACACGCATTCACACACTTACTGGGTGGCAGCGGCTCGTCCACTCTCTGGTATCGATTAATATCATGGCGGATGGACGGCAGGGAGCGAACAGACTGGTGGCCATTCACCTGAGCTGTGGCACCTGCATACCAAACACACACACACACACACACACGCTCGCTCTGTATAAGCTGCCTCACTTAAAGAATGAGAAGACTCACAATATATTCCCACAGAGCTCCTTCACCATCAGCAGCAAAACCTGGTGACCCTCCAAGCACAAGATGAGATCCTGCAGCTGCTTCATCTGCACAACACTGGTATCTGCTTTTATCTAATACTGTTAAATACTCCTCTGTGTAATCCAGCATCTTCTTTGGCAGCTGCAGAGAACTTGCTCTAATCTGAATAATGCTCCAGTCGTTCATTAATACTCCCTGATGCCTCAGTCCTCCGACCAGGAGACAAGCTGCTCCAGAAGTTTGTCTCATATGAACTTCGTGGCAGCATTAAATGCAGACTTGTGGTAGGAACAACTCATTTGAATAATAACAAAGTCTAAGAAGTGGCCAGAATCACTTCTGCAGGAAACCAGAAAATGCAGATGAATGTGTGAAGATGTGTAAGTGCTGCTGTATAATATGTGAATGAAAAGATAAACCATTTGATGGCTGGAGTGATGGAGCTAAAATCTCCATTCTGCATCTCACCTGTCTCTCTCTCCCTCTCTATCGTCCCACTCTGACCCTCCCTGGCAATGCAGACTTCCTGGTTCTGGGCCCCGCTCCCGGGGGTCTGCATGGAGCGCCTCCTCCTCCACACCTCCCCTCCCTCCTCCTCCTGCCTGTCCCCGCCACTGGCTTGAGCCCCTGAAATTAAAAGGAAGACTTCAAGGTCCTTTTGTGTGGAAACGAACATGGAGGCAGATAAAAGCAGCAGAACCAGTGCAGTGTCTCTGGCAGCCATACTGCATATATGTATATTTATATATATATATTTCATTTCTTAAGTGTTTATTTATTCTGTTGCATCTGAAGTGTCTCATTGTCTCAAGTATTAGGACCTCAGCCTCTGTAGGGCTCAATGTTCAGTTTCATTTTCAATTTGCAATCTCTAAGAAAATTGTGTAGCCAAAGTATATAAAAATAAAACAGTGAGCCAGGGAAAAAATGTTGATCACTATAGAAAATGTTGAAATAGTGAACATGAAATAAAATGATTACGTATATAATGTACCTTGTCTTCATGAGTTATGTTCTAAGGATGAACAGATGCATGCTGACAGATGTCTCTCCCTTAGTGTGTCTGATAAACCAGTGCAGCAGATTTCATGCTGCTTTTCCAGTTTGCTGTGATGAATCAGATGTAGCTGCCACTTTTCCTCTAAACTTCCATTAGTTATTATGGAAAAATTAAGTTTAACTGTTAAAAATAGTCCTTAGATATACAACTGTCTGTGTCAGTAACAAACACAATCACCACCTACCAGCTTCAGCGGTCGCTCCTTGCTCAGCTGCGTCGCTGCTGGTAGGAGCAGCTCCTGCCACTGGCCCATTGGCCTCGCTGCTCGATGACTCCGCCCCTTCCTCCTCGGCCTTCGGAGCCACTTCTTTTCTTGTGTCCACCTCCTGAGAGGAGAGGAGAGGAGATTTAGTTAATCTAATGGCAGCTTTTGTCAAAGCTCTTGTTTTGTCTCGTCATCTTGCATATCGCTGCTCACCTGAATTGGTGAAAGGGGGCCAAGTCCAGAGCTGTAGGGAACTTCCTGGCTTGTACCGACCCTGCTGCCCTGCTCCTGACAGGTACATTCCCTCACAGACTCTCCCGGCTCACACACTGCAGCCGCTTCAGCCCCTGGTGCCTGAGATGAGCAGGAGGCTGTGGAGATCTCATGCTCTACCTCAGCTGTTGCACCAGCAGCCTCTTCTCTCGCAGGTGTAGTCTCGGCTGCTGCTGCTGCTCCTGCCGGTGTCTGACCTCCAGCGGCACCTTCGCCAGTTTCAGCCGATGCAGACTCAGACACAGGGTGAGCAGCAGAGGATGAACCTGCGTCTGCGGCAGCTCCAGACGCACTCTCTGCTGCAGCCTTTGAGCCCTCGTTCCCCTGTTGAGACTCAGATCTAGCTGATCTACTTGATAAGACCAAGTCTGCGCTTTGCTGTGTCTTTGGTTCCTGTGATGGGTCCCTGTGCTGCCCCGCTGCCTCTTCATCCTCATCCGAGTCAATGTGCAGCATCGCATTGAGCCGCGTGTCCGTTGGAAAGCTGGAGCGGAGTTTCGGAGAAGGCCCGGCCAGAGGTTGGTCCAAGGGGCTCCTGGGAGACTCAATGGCGTCCAGGTAATCATTGAGTGACACCTGCCGGTGCGTGTGGCCACCCAGAGCCACAGGAAGCAGATCCTCCTCTCCCATACGCCCGGGCTCCCGCCACACACTATCCTCGCCGTAGTAAGAATTACCGTTGACCAGCACGGAGCCCTCATCAGAGCCTGTGGGAGAGGGTCTACATGTAGCGCGTGAGGACGAGGAGGGCTGAGGGAGGTCTTCGTCGTCTGAGGGACTGCCGGGGTCACCGTTTGTGGTGCCGCCCAAGATGGCCCCTGTGTCTGGGGAGGCCTCTGATGGAAGGAGAGGATGGGGGAGGAGGAGTGGAGGAGAGAGATAAACACATGATTGAGAAAAGGGGATTAGAGAAAGAGGCTGGAGATGACTCTTTAAAACACACACACACACACACACCTACCCTCATGTCCGTTGGAGGTGATGTCCACTCTGAACTGAAGCTGCCCACTCACATGGTCCGTCGGGAGACGACGACACAGGCTGTAGCTGACCGGCTGATCGCTGTGTGTACACACACACACACACACAAACACACACATGTACATGAGACATCATTGAATAACTCTGCAAACCCCCAAAGCAGCTGTCTGTCTGTACTTTTGTGTCTACAGGACACAGGACTATGACAGAAATATAAATATATATAAAGATTTGAATGAGCGTGGAGAAAGAAGGCCTGACTGTTTTAACAAGCTTGGTGCAAACTGGTTGGAAGGCAGCAGCAACCAGCCGCTCCCTGGCTTTCTGATGAAAAACAATACCTTTCAGTAATAAAACCCCTTCTTCAATATTGATTTGCATCACAAGGTTATCCACATGTTGCCTTAAAGAATCATTGATCCTATACCAAGATACCAGGTAACATCTATTTCCATCTCTAAGTGGCATAATGCATGGTATCACAGGGCTTCAACAAATCGATAAACAAAGCTGCAAAGCTTTGATGCAGAAAAATGACTCACATCCTTCATTGCAGCAGTAATATTCTACATCTTCAATCCAGGCAAGAGTTAATATGAACATGTACAGTTTGAACATGTTCCTGACACCATCAACGTATAGGAAACGGTGTGCACACACACAGTACATCATAATTGACTGTTGTATGTATTGTCCTCTGTTGTAGATCAATAATAAATCAATGCCTGAACAATGAGCTGATTTGGAGATATTGATTGGTATTGAATGAACAATGTTGAGTCACTGCTGTTAAACACTAAAGATCAAAGGTTTGACGGAGCTCCTCAGACGCTCTCGCTCTCTCTTTCTCTCTCTCTCTCTCCCTCACACCAACACACTCTCAACACAGCTTCAGTTCCTCCACGGTGTGTGTGTGTGTACTCACTCAGCCGTCGGCCCCTCCAGAAGTCTCTGCACGGGGATGATCAGCTGACCCAGGAACCGCTTGATGATTGGTCGGCTCTTGGCGAACTTATCTTTTACTTCGATCTCCAGCACGTCCGTCATCAGAGCCACAAAGGTGTACTTCTGCCGGAAGAGACATGAGAAAATCATAGTTTTATCTTCATCAGTAGAGAAAGACTTACACATTTATTTCACTTCCTACAACTGTGATCCATCGCTGTGTGTTTTACTATAAAACTGGTCAGCTATTTACCAAATTGCAAGCACCAAGGTGGTCACATGGCCTCTATTGTCTTGTGGGGAAATGGTTAATGGTCATGGTGTAAGTGCTGCATGAAAAAATGTGTGTGTTTGTGCTCACCTCCCCGTGCCACACAGGGTTCGTGGTATTAGCTATGATGGACGATCGCCTCTCCTGGCCGTGGTGGGTGAACTTGGGGAGACCGCTCCTCTTCCCAGGCCGGATGGACATCTTCAGGTAGGGGTCTGGGTTGAAGAACATGCCCTTCTTCAGTCCCATCGCCCAGATGTCTGGAGAGGGAAAATACACACAGGTGTCAGCGTCTGTGTTTACTGAACCAACATACAACTACAAGTCCTGATTCCATCCTCTCACCTGACAGGGTGAAACTGACAAGTTTCCGACAAGGCTCTCTCCCTGATTGGTCTTCCACTTGGCCTTCACTGTCCACCTGATGAGACAACCAATAGGAGATCAGCATGAGTGGACAATTTACCAGTCCCATTTTTTTGGGATTATGTGATATCATTATAAGAGACAAAAAGTTAAAAGACAGATACATTAAAAAGAAGTATGTATTTCTATGTATTTATTAAAGTTTCATGGTCGTTTGCAGTACCCACAATGCAGCTCAACCACCATTGATTTTAACATGTGCTTTTTATTTTCTATTCTTCATTTTTTACATTGATTCTTAAATGTTTCGATGTCTGAGTTTATGTCTCTGCTTGGATTTATATCGTGAACCTTTTGGATGATGAAAGGAAGTGAGTGGAGAAATGACACACACACTCAGATGATACATACCGGCACTCCAGGGTTCTTGACGGTAATGCAGGGTGTCGACGCTCTCAATGCTCCACTTACGCCGTGATAGTATTTAAAGCAGATCTTAGTCTCCGCTGTGGAGAGAGAGCACACACACACACACACACACACACACACATACACACACACACAGATGATCATCCACTGTGACGTTAAACTACACACGTGTGTATTAAGCACAAACAAGGGACTCGTGAAGCCCACTCACGCTCCATGAAGTAAGGTCCTGGCTCCAGTCTCCACACGATCTGTCCTCTCTGGGTGCCGTTCACGCCACGATTCTTGGAGTCCCAGACGTTGGCCACACTCGTCTCATCTAACAAATACGCACACATTTACATTTATGAGCTTTGTGTTCCTCTGCCTTCTGTTTCAATAACACACACACACTGAGGCTTCCATGAATGAAGCAGCAGTAGGAAGATGTTAGTTGTTAATTACACACGGGGCATTGACAGGACAGGACGTGTCAGAAGGTCTCACACAGACAAGCTCAGTGAGGAGGGCACATGTAAAGACACCCTCAGCACGAGATGATTTACATGGACATAATGCAAAAAGCTGGAAGTTAGAGTGTGATCAACATGTTTCTGTTTTATTCAAATCAAGAGAGGGAGGACAGATAAAAAAAAGCATTAAAATCATAAACTGGATCTGGTGTTTACTGTTTTGAATTGAAGAATTAAGCAGCTTGAGCATGAATGTGCACACAGACAAAACTGACCATTTCTTGTACAGTGACTCTTCCCAAACAGAACTCCCGTTATGTATTCTACACACACGCCAAGGCTCCGAAGGCTGCGTGGTGCATTGACAAACCACGATGGAGGTTAGTGGTACCTGAGGGAAACTCGGCCCTCGGGTCATAAACCAACATCCCTGTCTGTGCCTACAGAGACATCAAACATTTATGTGTACGTCCTGTGTGAAGGATGACAAACGGCCCGTGTCCTAATGGATCAATTCTGATGTCTGTCAGCCACACAAACACACTCTCACTCACTCACACACACACACACACACACACACACACACACACACACA